GGGCCCCACCCACTGTTCTACCCATCCATATTAACAGCAAGCCAGCCAAAGAACGTAGGCAAGGACAACGTTTTTCAATAAAAAAATCAGTTGGGAAATGCTGGAACAACCATACCGACCCCAACAGCAGTGTCTGGTGATGTCGTCCAAATACACCCTTCCCTAGTCCCCTGCTCGCTAGGGGCATGGGCTCGATATTCAGGTTATTTAGAGCGTCCAACAGCGACCACCAGCGTCCATCAGCGACAATCAGCATTTCGAGAGTCCGTCAGCGCAGCGATAGGAAAGTATAGATATCGACTAGCGAACGGCTGCGCCTACCAGCATCTTCCAACGTCCACCATGGTCCACCAGCGTCCAACAGGACCAGAAGTAGAGAGTGGGGAAGTAGGAGGGCAGCAGACTACTGGTAGAATATGGGGAACTGGGGAGGAGACAGCTAGATTAGCGTTGTGAAATTGTCTCGTGGGCAACGGTCCGACTACTACACAATACCGTACTACTGCTCGCCGATGGACGCAGGTAGACGCTGCCGTTCGCTAGGTCTATACTTTCTCAGAAACGGACGCTGTTGTTAGAGCATTTCTTTCTGTTTTTTTAAACTCTTCATTCATTTTGCTGGTTAACTTCATTCATTTTGCTGGCATCTTGGCATTCTTATTTCAGTCCCTTGCCAGAATGCCTGAGGATATGCCTTCAAAAAAAGGTCTAATTTAGGTATACAGGGGGGCCCAAAAAAAGTCATTTCGGCCGAGCCACATATCAACGAAGTTTTCGCAGCCCAGACAGGGGAAGTGGATATGAGTACCAGAGTGGAAGATACCCAAGATCTTCCTCTATAAGCTGGAGCAGGCTGCCGCCAATCGCCTTCATGTACGCCAAAATATGAAGTCATCTCCAGTCGCGGCCTGACTGGAGAACACCTTTGGAATTCACGTCGCCTCCAAACAGCTGCGAAACTTCTTGAATGAAGTCATCCACAGACCTGGAGGTCAGTACTCTTGATCTGCAAGACCTCCCACATCGAGCAGCTACGGCAACGTCGCTACGGTCTAGGACATCATCTTCACCGTATTCGCCGAGGCGCGAGTTGATGGTATGGACCGGGGTACCTGGAAAGGGGAAAGACCGATATTTTCTTTGTAGACCCCGACTGAAGGTGAGCGCTGGCGGTTACATCAAGTAACTCGAGAAGGATATCCTCCCTACATGTGGTCGCCCGTACCTTCTTGGAGACCTTGTGCTGCTACAGGTTTGGGTGCCACCACATGGAATCAAAGGGTTTTGGAAAAACTCCGCCTACTTCGAATGGAAGGGCGTTTCGTACCTGAAGAAGATGTAATATTGAAGTATGTCCCCTGACCTGAACCCACTCAATTACCTAGTTCGGGCGGACTTCAAGAGGGTGGTCTACGGTGGCGGAGAAATCGACTACCCCGCTGATCTCAGGTACCACATCGCGGTCGCGTGCCAGAATCTCTCGATGGCGTTCGTCCAGAAGGCTGTGGCGGAGTGTCGTGATAGTACTTAATATGCTCTTCAATATGGTAGTAAAAATGTCCGATCAGAATTTGATAAAGTGTAATTTATAGCGCCTCGAAAGTCAATGAAGGCAAAGTGACTTTTTTGCCCCCCCCCCCTGTATATCCCCAAGCCAGCCTAATGAATTGTAGGACAAGAGGGAGGGTAGAGAATGCTCTTCACTTCACCCTGCTGTTCACTCATCGCCATGTTTCAGTGCTCTAGTAATCTAGGTAAACCTTGATGCTCCCCATGCTTAGAGTGTTGAGAGATTTGCGATGTTTAAGGAAGTTTAATTTCAATGAAATCTTGAAATCCATATAAGGCTCGTCGCTATGGCAGCGGATAACGGTGCGGATCAAGAACGCTGTTAATCAAGCACATCATTTGTCCCCACCTAATATCCCAGCTGATCTGTAGAAAACAACATGTCCTCCGTACGCGCACAGTGTTTGTGCCGCGAACACTTTTTCTACCGCAATTAGTGTTTCTATAGCCACATCCACGGCGCTCTAGAAGCAGGGACACGTCAAACGCGACTCGATGCGAGATAGTTTCGCCTACTCGAATGCTTCCGCCTTTGAGCTAAGCCCACGATTTGCCTACTTAACATTAACAAACGAGTGTTTGCCTCAACTTTTCCCAACTACGCTCGTTGTCGTAGCGACAGCGGCTTTCAGAAGCAACCCCGACATGACATCATGGGGGTAACGCCTATGTTAAGGCCCGTGTTTTATCAGAAAAATGGGACACCTAGATTATACCGGCCCTGCTCCTGGATTCGGTTCATGTTTTTGAGAACCTTCTGTTGTCTCTGGGAACATTCTGTGGTTTCATAGCTATCATATCTGAGTGTGAATATTTGAAAGTGTCTATCCTCCACTATTCCTCTAGCACTGGAGTTCAGTGATTTGAGTCGCTTTTGACAGAAAATTCATTTTTATTATTATTTTTACTATTTCAGCTATTAAGTGGAGCCTTTAGATCACGCCGCCTCAAAAGCAAAAATCTCAGATTTCCTTGTACTAATCGTTGATTTCGCCCTTAAATTTGTAATAAACCGCCACCGAATGTCGCATGACCTACTTAGAACACTTCGCATCAACAAGATGCAAAGATATTTGTGAAAGAATTCTGCGTATTTCGACTTGGTAGGTGCACGCAATGGTACTGACCGTGGTTTGTATAGGCCACCGCGATAAACTGTAAATCATGTAACCAAGCCTCACTTATACCATTTCGCAACTTCACAAATGTTTACTGGCCTCACCAAAGCGGGACCTGTTGGTCAACATGAACTAGCAAAGGAACTGTGCAAAATACGTTCACGATATCATGGGAGTGTGTTTTATACTCTGCAGAACAAGGTTTTCAAGTGAGCCTTTGTTTAGTTTTGATTGGTCCGCTTCGCCGTTTTACGTTTTACGAAGACCCTGCTGCATCCTTCTAATATATAATCCGCTAGTTTGTCTATTGGTGTGTGTGTTTGTGCGTGTATGTGTGTGTGTGAATGTATGTGTGTCTGTATGTGTGTTTGACCGGAAATTCATAACTTTCTTCAAAATAGAGACAGAGCGCTCAAACTAATGAGTGATGTAGGGGTCGGGCAGGAACACTATTGGTGGGTGGCAGGAAGTGATAACAATCGATAAGATACCATAACGGGCTTTGGAAGGGGAGGGTCACCAAATTCATAACACCCGTCACAGCAACGACAGTACGTTGGTTTCGAGAACTAAGATAAGGGGCAGGATGGGAACATTATTGGTGGGTGGCAGGAAGTGATAACAGCTGATAAGATACCATAAGGAGCCTT